CCTGGCCGCGCTGCAGCCGCCAGGCTCCCGCCGGGCCTGCGTTCCCCGGGCCGGCGCCCCACTGCGTCCCGGCGCCCCGAGCTCCTGCCTCTCCCCGCACCGGCATCTTTGCTTCCCCAGCGGGAAGCAACAGGGTGAAACTCCGGGCGCTTACCTAGCACTTTGGTTTCCCCACACGGGCTGCTCCCTGAACACACGCGCTCTGCCAGGGTTAATGGAAGAGAAACTCGGGTCTCAGCAACCCTTCCCCGTTTTACCCCCTCAATATACAGCAAACAGATTAGCTTCACGGAGAAATGTTAATGGGACACGGGTGGGTGAGGGTCCCCACAGCAACTGTGGTTCCCACCTGGCTCTGGGAGCCTGCACCGCTTCAGGTTTGTCCTTTGTAAGGGAAGGCTGGGATGTCTGGTCTCATTTAACCTCATTAACCTTTAAATGCATGAACTCACGAGTTGCTTCTCAAACTGTCAGCAAGTAAACGCCTGGTTTCCAAAAGCGCTGGCACCAGCAGGCCATCCACACCACACCAGGGCCTGACCCTGTAAAGGACAGCACCCAGGAGACCCAGCCTGGATTAACCCCTTCAGGGATTTATTTCAATTTTCCTTTAGCAAACAAGTTCATTTACACTGTTACAATACCGTTGTTGTAAAATAGCATTAAGTATATATGTATTTTTAATATATATATATGTATACTTATAAAAAACCTTTTATAATGCTTTCTGCTTTTGTTTGAAGTTCAGTTCCCCAGGTTTGCACAAACTGACTGCCAAGCCAGAGTGACGGTAGCTAGCACCTGAGCGCAAAATCTGGCCCTAGGCCCACACCAGCTTCTTGCCAGCTGGGGACAAACCAGGGAGCCGCTGTTACCCCTCTGCTCGCGGGAGGACATCTATGCAAGACAAACGCAGCCTGGGCAGGAGGCTCCTACCTGAGGTTGAGCAATGGAGACCCAAATCCAGCTCTTTGCTTTGCTTGCCACAGAACCTCTCATGGGCTTGGGAAAAGCTGCTTTGCTCTCTCTACCTGTCCGTTCAGTTCGTCAGGGGAGCACAGTGGAGTTAACAGCCTCGCCTGGCTCAGAAAGAGGCGGGAAACCATTCAGGTATCACTGCAGGAAGGACTAAACCAGAATGCCCAGCAGAATTCAGCAGCTATATTGACACCATCGTCTTACCCCTCCTGTGGGAGACGCGAGGACCAGCGGAGGTGTCCCTGCCTGCCTGCCGAGCCTGCTGCAGTCGCCTGGAGAAAGAAGCTCCACATCATTAATCCATCTCCCTTCCTGGATGCTGTTCCAGATGCTGCAGAGTTACCGTGTTCCACAATTCAATTATCCTAGGACACCTTTTCAAAATGACCTCCAGGGAAGGGAGAGCGTGAGAGCTGAACTTCCTCCGCTGCTCAGTAATTACTAACCCAACCAATCTTCATTTCCACCGTTCACTCTCATTAGCAGTGTCACGGGGGAAAGCTGAAGAGTGCCGGCCAGGACCCAGCAGCCTTGCGGTGCCGTCAGCCACAAGCAACCCTGCTTTCCTCCACGCCTGACGGACCAGGGGCACGCACCCCATCCCAGCCCGTGGGCAGCTCTTCAGCTATCCAAACAGAGTAATTTCTGACCGCCTTATACATCCTCACCAACACGAGCGACCAAGTGACCGAAGCCGGGCGGGCGTTCAGCTGCCGCCGGAGCCACCAGCCGTGTTGTGGCATGGAGACCTGGAGGCGTCGAGGCCCGGCAAGAGCCGCTCAGACCTCCTCAGCAAGCGGCGTCCGTCCCTGCCGGCTGGCCTTGCCGCCGGCTTCGGTTGGAAGCAACACGGGCTGAAACCCAGCTCTCGGGGCTGATTTTTGGGGCAGGACAAGAAAAACGGAAGATATTCACGGACAGCGGACTCCCCCTTGCATTTCAATGGGGCTGGGGCTCTTTTTCGCTTTTCCCTTTAG